GTTTTACTGCATCAATTCCATCTACAATGAATTCGATAGTTTGCAAAATTTATCGCTAGCGCTTGCGAAGTAAAAATAAAATTATAAACTTCGAAACGAGAAACAACTCGATGAGCCTCTAGGGAGAGAAATAACCCCAACGACGAGAGCCTGCACACTTACTGCAAATATGATGCGTACGCTACCGATGACACTGTTTGATGTTATTTATGCTTTTAAAAGCTGTAGCCTTTCTTCAAAAATATGTGAAAACTATAAGCTCTCAATAACAATAGTCAGAACAAATTGAAAATGACTGCAGCACCTATATCAACCATTTCATGAAATTGGGAGGCAATTCTATAAGACCTCAGCAGCGAAAAAACAAAAAACAAACCACACAGTGTGAAGAAATATCCACATATGAAAGAGCAAAACAATGGCAGTTTAAGAAATGAACAAAGCTAAAACGCTTACACAAAATATATAAAGATAAATACGGTGATCAGGTGTATCCTCAAAGGTTTCCTGAGTAGCCAACAACAGAGCGAACAGGTTTTGATCCTTAAAATTAAAGGTTTTCCTGAGGTAGCTTCTACAAATTCGTAAAGCTAAAACGATAACAGCAACAATTCAGTGAACAGGTTTTGATCCTTAAAATTAAAGGTTTCCCTGAAGTAGCTGCTACAAATTCGTATAACTAAAACGATAGCAACAACAATCACTACGGTGAACAGGTTTAATCCTCTAAGGTTTTCCTGAGTAGCCAAAATAACAATGAAAACAAGAAATCAGCACAGTTATTGCCAAAGCAAAACAGCACAAGGCGACAAATCTGACAATGAAAGTCAAAGGAAAAAGATCATCAATATCAAAACAAGATCTACTTCTTGTAAATGCTCATGTACGTACAGGACTGTTATAACAGCCACCTGTGGTAACTATCCGACAGATAGAGCATCATACACATTCCTCGATGTGGGAGGCTGTTCGAAGTAAGCATACTCCGATGTGATGTTGACTATCTAGTATAATATAACTGTACTATTTCATAAATAAGAAATTGTAATCGAAAGTAACTGCTTTGGGGCAGCCATTGTAATGAGATGCACCGGCGATAGTAGGGTCCATTCGGGCCACTTGCGCCGACCGAGACATGACCCTCAAAGCTGGCGTTAAATAACTGAGCCTCGAGCCAATCTGCCTGGTCTCCACAAGTATTCTGAATGACGCCGACTGAGCGAGAATGAAGCGTTGCAATACCCAAGCTGGCTGTTGAAGCACCGAAATTTTGTTGGTGTCGTGGCCTTGACGTGCGTGTCCTTTGAACGTGCGTGTTGCTGGTGCGGATGAACAGAAAAGTGTAATTTGTGGATGGTGAGACTACCAAGATTCAGCCTCGATGAACCCCCCGAAGCTTGCTGGATTCGATCTCTATACCGCGGCGCCCGGGATCCTATAAAATAAAAACCTATATGCCCGCCCCCAGCCATCCCTCTGGCGGTTTTGGCCGTACCTCTACATAAAAATTCAAGCGCGTGTCCCGGCCCAGTGGGGGGGCCCGCA